TGGGGACCGCGTGATCCTCACTGTGCCTGGTTGGAGACACTACAAGATATGGCTGCCAACCGATGTCAGTGGCGTTCTTGTTGTCAGTTTCTGTCCAGATTGCCTGAGTGAATGTCTGGAGGTGTAGGCGCCTCGGAATGATTGTGTTAAGCTAGCACTAATTCCCTCCCCCACCCACCTTTATTCTTTTGTTTACAATAAGGCTTTCAAATAAGTCATGGTTCTACGGCAGTGAAGCATCGGTGTTGAACACTGATGTCATGCTGTCGATGATGATGATGATGATGATGATGATGCGAATTATACTCATTTGCAGACCAAGTTGGTTTTGTGAGAGACTCACCTGGAGCCCAGCTGAATCTCTCGTTTGCCTCGAAAAGTGTGGAAATTGTCAGTTTATTGTTCATATAGAGCCACTTGTGAGGAGAGCGGATTGGTGACTTGAAGGGTATACAGCACCTCAGTTAATTTCTGGTTGTCGAAGAACAACAAGTGGAACGGCCATATTTGGTCATACGTCGTTTATTGATGCCCCCTCGGTACTGGATTGTCATAGCAATGCGCGGAGCTGTCTTTTACGGTGTGTAAGTAGAACCTTCAACCCTATCCGTTAGATAGAAGCATCAGCATATCATCAGCATATGTGATGACGATGAGTACCTCGATTTACCCGCATGTTTTTTGTGACTAGTTGAAAGTCGACCGAAATTCGGTCGACGTTTAAACACGATCTTCGACCCGAAATTTGTACGGCGCAGATGACTGGACAGCCCGTCTGCATGGTATAAATGGTACTCCGACGAGAACACACGGCTTGTGCATCCTACTGCATAAAGAAAGCAGGTGACTGGTCAGATGTCTACTCACACACACACACACACACTGCATCTCTTACACATGATCGTTTTTTATGTGATCCGCGACACAATCCCTTATTGTACGTTCGCTGCGTGCGTTTCCTTGATGAACCGATTCTTCGGACAGGGAAGTTGGATAGGCGTCCGTATGCCTAGCTACAGTTCCAGCAAACCTATAGCCCTGGCTCGTGGCTTGATTCAAAGCCGTGTTTCGCCCTGTCGTTGTGAGATCTCAAGTCCCACAGCTATCTGAAAGTTTGCCATTATTTTGTATTTCCAAAGTTGCTTTATGCTTTTCGAGCGCTTTTGCCTTCTGATCTGCTTGACCGGTATTCTAAAACGGTGGTCTGATATCCGTTTCTCCCGGCTTTATTCGGAACTTTCGTTGCACATTTTTATTCCTAACCTATGTCGTTAAGCAACTAGTGACGTCTTCATAAAAGTCGCGCGGTCACCAGTGTCTTGACATCGGTGATTTTCGGGTACATTGAGTTCATCTCGCTTGTCAGTTGTAAACAGACTGCTAGATCGAAGTCCTGCTGGATCATGCATGATGCCAGATGTGCTCGTCATAATCGGGTTGCAAGGGAACTTGCAAAACGTCTCCGTCGACTGGGGTACACCGTCTTCGAGGAGTTGAGAGTACTTACTTCGACGTCCTTCATCAAACCTGACCTAATCGCTGTTCGAGATTGCCGTGCAATTGTAATAGACGTCAGCATAGTCTCGGATGGGCGTGGAGTGACTGTGTGGAATGAGGAGAAGCAGAAGTATGGTGCTGATGAATATTCCCTCGCCATAATCTCAGCCCTACATGCCATCGGTTGTGATGTCGACTTTTTGGTTCACCAACCGATGATCATCTGTTATCGAGGGATCTGCTTTCCGCAATCCGCTAAGGCTGTTATTGGACTGGGATTTCCTAAGGTCGCAGTCAGTGACTTTTGTTTGCTTGCCATTGTGGGCTCTCTGCGTACTTATGACACTTTTGTGCGTGGCACATGGCGTTGAATGTACATTTCTTGCCATTTGATGTCGCACCAGACCCAGTATGACGGACACTTTGTACCTGATGTGCGAGTCTTGACTGTGCTAGCGCGTACCGCGCCTTGAAGAGCATTCACCATTGTTTGTCCTTTCTTCGCCTGTTGGTCTTTAGACGCGTGTTTCCACATCAAAATCTTTACATACTTTGGGATTCATCTCATCAGACTGGAACTGTTCTTGGCATGATTTCGAATGAGACGTTTCTCTCTTTTCTCCCATATTCTCCTGTTAATCTTTCGGATTCATCGCATGCATTCACTTTTTATGTGTGTGACCATGCTCTTCAAAAATAAATGATAATAGACAATCAGCACTTGGGGAAATTAGCTATGTTCCAAACCGGTATCACACCTGTTCAATTTCAAGTCAGCCAAGGTTGTCTATGTGTCAGGTCGGTTATAGAATGCATGGGCATCAGATGAGTGTCAGCGGACGAGCGGACCGCTTCGATGCATACTCCGTTTTTACTCGTTCGTACTCTGTACGAGGTAGTTGATTTTCTTCTGCTCGCTTTGTTGATTGCAGAGAAATTTGGCGTTTCACGAGAAGGTGGGGATCCCGGTGAACGTTGTATTCCGGCAACCTATCGCTTACTCTACTTTATTGGATGGAAACCACATCCGTCTCAAGTAAGTGCTTGTTTGTGGCCATTGACGCACACGTTACTTGTTTGTCGTCTTGGATGTTTCACTGATGTGGTAAGCGATCCTATGGCTTGAAATTGGAGCAACTGTAGGTTTTACTGCAAAGGTGGATTCCTTTCATCGGAAATCAGGCATTTCGGAGACTTTTTATCGGAAACAACTGTAATTCTATTCTTGGTCTACTTCCACTGCAGCGACAACCTTTGTCTCCTGGAAGCGCCAAATTTTCACTCAAAGACATCCATCGTGTGGACGAGTTACAGAAGGAATTGGAAGAACGAATGAAGAACTCGGGCGATATCTCGTCGCAGCCACCGGATAAAAGGTGATCATGTACCTAGAACTTTGTTATTTCAACCGATGAATACGGGTTTATCGAATAGATAAATATATCCTCATTAAAGAAGCTTCCTTCTCACGACTAATGGGGCTTTGCTTTGTTCATACCAAGGCCTGTCACGTTGAGGCTTGAGTGTTGCAAAGATTCCACAGGTCACGCCATCTTGAAAGGGCGAACATCTCGTGAAAACAAATGGGGTCAACTAGGAAGGAAAAATGATAGGAAACCTCTGTCGTATGAGGAACTGTCTTGGGACTCGAACTGGCGATAGACACGTAGTGCTCGCGGTAGAAAGGTAGTAATATGTTTACTTCAGCGACTCTACCTTCTACTGAAGTTATGGACTGTCGGTCCCGGAAATTTAACAGTTTGATCGCCAAACAGTTAAGCATGACTTTTGGTATATTGTTCAGCACAGTCAAAACTCATTCTTGTGTACCCTACCCCTCTTGGAAGGCAACTCTACTCCAGTGCCGATTGGGTCGAGCCTAGTCATTTGTGGTCCCCAAGAAAACCCGAGCAAGGTTGCCTTGTGGGGCAAACATTTGAGGAAGAGGTGGGTATGGTGTGGTCCCTCACGTCAACTCCATTTTGCGGTATAAACAACCCAGAAGTACTGGGAGTTACCGTTACCGCAGTGAAAATTCCCGCGGCCTCAGATGTACTGGCCAACAAGCCGCTAGAGCAAGTGCCCGTGCAAGCTTAGATCTTGATATCCGGAGCACGAGTTTGCGGTTTTCACAACTGGTATCAATTCGAACGCACCTGCAAAGAGTACTTCGGATCATCATTACCTTCGTGATAACAACGTCCAAGTACGGCGACAATCTAGTCGGAGTGATCCCCAGTTCCAAAGAAATAGCAAGCTTGATCGAGCCCTTGTGAATTGTCATTTATCAGATATATTGCCGAATGTAGATTTCCTTGACTCGTGACCAATCTACGCACATTGTTCGCTGTCGAGGTCAGTTTTTCGATTATGGAAGGAACCACCACCACAGTGAGCGTTTCTTTTGCGTATTTCTCACCAATTTAAACGGAATTGTAATAATTAACCGATGATATGATCATGAGCTATGGGAGCGTTGTTGGCACAACTTAGATAAAAAGGTTAATATCGTCCGCGGTAGTGGGTGAAGTCAAACTCCGAAGTGGCCACATGTCGCGGTCAGTGAGAACTTTTGCCGATAATCTGTTCGAGCCACCGTGGATGTTACCACTCTCCGGTTTTTCTGCCTACGATACCCCTTAACTTAACGCCACTAGGGGCTGGTTGCTCACAGACACGACGAAATGCTGATGGTGGCGATGTTTTGTTTGGTTATTTTCCTTTATGTCGGTTTTATCTTTACCGGGCGAAATGTTGTTGGAGCTAAATCGATTTCTGACTAGCGTATCAGACGTTCGAACGGTTTTCCATGATTGGTTTTCGGATAAGAGAGAATAAACAATTATCATTTTGCTTAAATATCTCCATGGTTGGAAAACTAACACAGTGATGAACATGAATGTTTTGGCGATCTCGTCATCAGGTCAATACATATCTAATGGTTAAAATAACAGCGAAAAATGAAATACGCTGCGAAGATTGGTTAGTGCAATGCAAAACATGGAGACACGAACGATTGGTTGCCTACGATCCCCCTCCCCAAGTCGCATCTAGTTGGATGCTGTGAGACAGTCAAGAGGGCTGTTGAGTGACTTGGCGGTTGATTCGTGTCACACGACTAAGGGAGACTCAGCGTTCGTACGAAACGTTTTTGACAGCACAGTACCGGGTTTCGCAGGCGTATAGCGACTACCTCGGCTGTAGTCAAGCAACGCCGTTGAATAGATACTGGCAGTTTATTTGGCATACGGTAAATGATTTGAAATGACTCATTTGGCATGACTACGTGCCCGGTGTCAATGAGGTGTGATACAATTGAGCTCGTGGCTGAATTGTTGAGGTTAGTGTTATTCCGGTCAGAGAGGTGCTCGCGTATTCTCTTGGAAAGTTGCCGTGTCGTGCACCCAACATACTCCACTATACAACAGCAGGAGAAAGAATACAAGACCATATTCTGGGTGAGGACTGGTATCTTGTCTTTGAGGTTTAAGTTGAGCAAAGGGTTTGTTGTAAACCAAGACCGCAGAGTTCCAGCCGGAAACGTGCGTTGTAGGGATTAAAACAAGCGGCGATTGATTATGTCCGCCAACAGATCGCCTTTATACGGTAAACTCAGGTATATTGACTTCTTTCCAACGATCGTGATAGGCGGTTGGATTTTGCAGCCCCCATCGTCGTCTCCGCCTTTTACTATGGAGTCATCAGAATAATTACACCAGAGTAGTGATGTGTGTGCAAACTCCGAAAATCCCACAATTGCCTACAACTAATGAATATGATGCTATCTTCCTTATGGTGGAAAGGGAGTTAAGGTAACCCTGGGGCATCGGACTCTGTTACCAGTTCATCCGGTATAGGAGCAAATCGGTCTGTCTTTAATGATCTTTTTAAGGTCATGCCTTTCTTGCCTTGTAATCTTAAGCCACCACGGACTAAAACAGGAGGTTTCGACCTGAATGCTCCGGAACTCAGTGTAACCCTAACCTCCCTGTTGCTTTCGACGAGGTCGGATAGACCTAGAAGTACTACAGGTTGCACACCAACACTATGTAGAAAACTGTGAAAGACATCTTTCGCTCCGTATATGACGTTTCAGCTCTTCCGTTCACTCTTCAACATTGGTGATCGAAATGAGTTGGAAGGCAACGTGTCACTCGGGTTACATGTGCCTCAGGTATCAGCACCGTACTTGTATGTGAATACTGGTCGTGTTTGTGCTGGAGAACATCAGCGTAACAAACAAGGTGATTGCACGTTTGGATTTCCTTGGCGGAGCCTGCTACTCATAAGGGTGCCGAAAACTCATCGACAGCCCACGATGGAATTAGTTTGCAAATGAGCGCATTTCACGAGAACTGTGATTGTTTTCTACCCCACATACATGCAAGCTTTTCGGGGCTCAAGTTGACATTTTTCCACATCCTGATCCGATACCAGTTAGTGACGGTGCTTTTCAAGTGGAAAGTTGGGTTTCATCCGGCATTTTGACGATAGCTTTTACCAAATCAAACCAATGTTATCTTTAAGGGGTCATTTTTGTAGGGATCGGGCAGTCCAGGTTAATCATATGATAATAATAATTAAAAATAATAAATGTACTACTCATAAGGTTGCTGAAAATCCATCGACAGCCCACGACCGGTTTCGCCCTTCTTGGG